CCAAAGTCATATTGCAGGGATTCAATAGTGCTAATCTCATTGTCAGCTTGATCAGGTATAAAGAAATGTGTCAGCAAATTGCAGTTAAACGTTAACTTAAATAGAGGTTGATGTAGATAGCAGTAGAAAACTAAGCTTACTTTCAAGTTCTCCGCTTGGCTTATGCTTTCGTCTCATTCTTACGAAGATGCCAATGCTAAGAGCAAGAATTAGACATGCAACAGTTGGAATGACGACAATAATAACAGTTCGAGTCGTATTGTCATTATCTTCCTTTCCTACAAAATTTAAAATAAGACATATAAATAACACTATTATTAAGTTTGTAATTTAGTTACAATGTTTTAGTGACAACATTCTTACCTGATGCCGGTGGCACTAGTATTGCTTGTGTTGGTTCCAGCTGGAGCGTTCTAACCATAGTATCATTATAGAAGGGACTAGTTTGGAAACGAAGATAGCAACTAGGCGTAAGTATTCTAACTCCTGGGTTTCCACGTGGAATAATTAGTGCAGATTGATATAAACAAGCACCACAATCTTCTGGTGTTATATCAGGTGTGCACTGCTCAAATGCATAAATTCTTTTAAAATTTGGTTCAGGCCGACTACCAGCAGCAAATTTCTGCGTTGAGCTATTAAAAACAGTCTGGTTACGAAGACTATCCAACAATATGTTCAGCTCCTTGTAAAACTTTTCCGAATCCGGTATAGGATCTGTTTTAAAAGCCACCTCGTATGGTAATATTGCAGGAGTCCCTAATATAGCGTTGTTGGAATATCGCACCTGTTGATAACAGTATTTTGACACCCCTGATAAGTGCAATTTCCAACACTTATTTTGCCACAAAACATGACTAATTGTTGACAAAAATGTTTGAATATGGCTTAATTCTGCATAATTTCGTTTTGTAGCACTATATTGATGGATGTGGCGGAACTCAAGAGAAAATGTACGAAAAAAGACCAAAACAGAAGAAAATGAAAGTTAAGGGACCAGCGTGCAAATAGTCAAAAGATGACCCGAAGCACGAATCGAGAATGTAAATGAGCTAAGTACTAATTTGATGAATATAAGGGATGTTATAAGAAGGAGAATGAAGAAAATATGTCAAAATGGGAGAACATAATGTTCGAGGACTAAATTGACACAATTGGAAGTTCCTCTCTACCATGCAGTCGCATGGTAGAATTCTCCATACTATCCCCTGGAGGCCACACTTGGATGAACCATGCGCTCACGTGGTTGATTTTCGATGCAAGATTTCTGATTTCCTTATTTCGTTCAAACACTTGAGGAAACGAATTTTAGGATACATATAAAAGCTTAGAATCGTCAAATACGAAGGGGGCGCATTCCAACTAAGGGAGAAACACTAGAACACAAGTTGAAGGAAATTTTGAGCCAAAAATACGAGGAGAAACACAGATTGACGGGATTTCAAGCTGAATATTGAATCGGTGATGTTGTCTCTTGAAATATCCGTGTTTTATTATTTTCTCCATGTTATGCTAGATATTTATGTATTAGGAGAACGATGAACCATGTGATATAATCTTTTAATTCCTAGTTTTACATTTTTTACATTAAAACACGTTATATACAATTATTTTTCCCAACAATTATGTGTGCAAATGATTATGTGAATCTCCTAGCATATTTCATGCATTCGAGAAAAGGGAAATATGCTCAATAAGGTATAAATTATCGTAGGGTCCAATAGGGGATAGAGATATACTGCTATGCCTTACATGAATCTCTAAGTGTTCACAAAAATCCATACATTCTTGTATATCTGTATTTGTCATAGTGATCTAGTCGGGTCGTATATGAGAGTAGGTTCAACATTACTCGAGAGAGATTCTTGGATAGATTCTTGGATAAAATAGGAACATTGATTCTACAAAACTTCAACCATGTTATCAATTTGTAGACTTAGAATTAAAAGTGATCATTGCATGGGGATTCGTGATCCTAGTGCGCCTTTCATTAATTAAATTTAACAACTCGTTTTCAAACATTGTTTTGCGTTCTAGTTCAATTAGTTTACTCATACTCACATTCGTAAATTAGTTTAGTCACAGTTTCCGTTACAACATAAACGTGCTATTTTCTTGTTTCGGTTAAGGTCAAGATAGTAAAATTGAACTAAATTAATTCATGTGGGACGATAATCGGAATTCTAAATTCCACTTTATTACTTTTTATGGACTGTACACTTGCAGAATTTAAAATCGAAATACATTTTCGCACAACAACCCGTCCGTAACAGTTTAAACTTTAGATGAAATGGAAAACATTGCATCAGAGTAAGCCAATAAAAAAATTTTGTCACATTTTAGGCCTTTGATATATAAATAATTCAAGCATGCACAGGACAGGGATACCGTAGAAACATTTAAATCATTAGACATTAAGTGTGTCGCAAAAGTTTAACTTTTTGCGTAGAGTTATTAACATTGAATTAGAGCTCGGCAAAAAGAGAAAAAAGAAAAAAAATCTAGGTTCAAATCTTACGATGACCTGTTTATGAAAAATCTCACCCGTTTATGGAGCTGCATTATAGACAACCTATAAGGGTTTTATTTTATTTTGCTAAAATTCTAGTACTTTTCAAGAAATGAGTAGTTATTAAATGGATAATACTTGTGGTCCTATGAAATTTATGGTAAAAATTAATATTTGACTTTAAAAAGTAGATTTTAGGAGAAGAAAATGAAATCCAAACAAGAGTGGTGCTATGTGTACACACNTGTACACACAATTTTTTACATAATGTTTTACATCCCCCTCACATGGAGGGGGGTCCACGATTATTTTATTATGTGTGGGCCCCCCTCCATGTGAGGGGGGTGTAAAACATTGTGTAAAAAATTGTGTACACATAGCTTTATTCTCCAAACAAAGTCAAATAAAGATAAGGAGGTTAACAATACCATGCAAAATTCGTGCCAGAAAACTGCTTGTTTCTGATACAGACACTTCTTTAAAACTTCGATGGTTGCATTGGCGACATACTCCCGACATTGATAAGGCTGAAGATCTGCTCGACAGAGTGCAATGATATTGACTCTATCTGAATTCTCTCCCATTGAGGCATTGTAAAATCCATCGGTACCAATATTAGAAGAGACAGAAGAGAGGAGGGTGTCAAGGTTTGCCTTGTACATGCTATTACTCGGGTAATTTCCAGCGTTTAGACAATTATAATAGGGAAAAATTTGAGTTGGGAACTCGGATTTGACAAGAAAAACAAGGTTTGTTACGCTTAGAAAAATGAAAGGAACCAGCCATTTTCGAGAAGTCATATCTTTCTTTAATAACGGGAGAATGATGAACCCAAAAGGCACAATATATATAGTATAAGAATTGGTTGCTTTAAAGTACTGTGGAAAGAGTGTGTCAATAGGAATAATTGCACAAACAAGAAGTTGTCCCATAATTAAAAAGAAATTAGTTTTACCCTTCTAATGTGAAAGCTAGCTAGACTATGCATTTTAGCTTCTAATGTGAAAGCTAGACTATACATTAATAAGTCCAAAATCGTTGATTTTCCAAGTCAAAAAGTTAATATGCATAGTCTAGCTTTCACATTAGAAGTGTGAAACTAATTTCTTTTTAATTATGGGTAACTTCTTGTTTGTGTCCTCAGCCAAAAGTGTTCATAATATAATAAACAAGATAAATGGACTGAATCTTTACTATTTTATGACATTGGGTTGACTTCGATCAACATTGGACCATGTCAATTGTGCAACCCATGAACTTTAATTATTTGCATAATTAAATCTTACTCTTTATTTGAAGTTACCTAATAGGACCTATATAATTCAAGCTCCGATAATTGGATTCAATTTCTTCGACTTAGAATGTTCGACCAAATTATTTGTCTGGGCTTATGGTCCATGATTGTACTCTCAAGTTATATAAAATCACAAAAGGAATATTATTTCAATCCCCGACTATACCAACTTATGGAACAAAGTGTCTAGGAATTCTCATTTGACATAAAAACGGTGTTGTTTATGCATTGGACGTAATAATGTGCATTTAGTGAAGTAAGTCCATATGATAATTGGACTGGACAATCCGGGTCCGAGAGATTGGACCTAATTATCAAAACTTGAATTATATTATGGGAAGATTTCATAATTAAGAGATTAAGTTTCACCAATTTCAAATTTAAGAAACTAAGCTTGTGTTTGACACCCATTTTGGAGAAAAAATGAATNCAGTAATGGGCGGCAAAAGTTGTGGTGGCTGCGATGATGACAATAGCAATAATGCTACATAATGTAACACGGGTTACACAAATAAGTTTGTTAGGTAAATTGTTGTCAAACGACCTTCTTGACGTTGATATAAGTTCATTATTTATTCAGTCGATATTGACCAGATGACTGAAAAAGTATATCGACACCATAATTGTTTTAAACAAATCCTATAACATATTTTGGCCATTTGAAGTAGCCTAATTTAATTAGGAGAAAATTTCATAATTAAAAAGTTTAGTTTTACTAATTTCAAATTTAAGACATTAAGTTTAAAATTTCAAATCTCAGAATTTTTTTATTTTTTTTATAAATTAATTAATTAAACATAAATTTTATTAATTAAATATATTAAGATCACAAATTCCATATAATTAGTCACATATTATTAATTGATTTCAAATCACAATTTTTATATGTCACAAATTATTTTACGGTCATAATTCAAAAATTTTAAAGGTCAAAATTTGTTCATCGATCACAAATCAAAATTTTATACGTCACAATTTATTCATTAGTCACAAATCTATCAAATTAATAATCACATTATTTATTGGTCACAAATCACAAATTATATATAGGTCACATTTTATCAAACTATTGGTCACAAATTAATATATTTTTCAGTCACACAATATTTATTAGTCACAATTTATCTATTTCATTAGTCACATATTGTTTATTGATCACACACCAACCAATTTATTGGTCACAATTAACCAAATCATCTGTGACCACCACCACACTGTTGCAACAACCCAAACCACTTGCGCTAGAACCACCAACACCACCACCCGATAATAAAACCATCGTTTCGAATACCGTAGCCAACATCACCACCAACACCACTACCCACCCACAACCATCGCACCACCACGATCAGATCCCCCACCACCTGTAGCACCATCATCACGACTTACACCACCATCGTATCCCACCACTGCCAACATCACCACTACCTCACCACCGCAGCCAACATTCCAACCACCACCCAAACACTACCAAAAAATCAGATCCAGATCCAAAACCCAATCACTACCAAAAAATCAAAGCGGAGCACCATAGGCGATGCTAGTCCTACGTCATCACAACGACCGAAGAGCCACCACTTCATACCCTTAACACAAACCACCGTCGATCACCCATTCCACCGCAAATATTCTTCACCTCGTTAGAAGCCACTACAAGGATTTGCCACGCCACCTTCATCCGCATCTTCATCAACAATCCCATAATCATCGGAGCGGCGCTACATTGCTAAACACTCTCCAACTGAAAATATAAACCAGTTCAGATTAATATTTCCTGAGTTCAAGTTGTGGAAAGGATCATATGCAGTGGAGAAATGGGGCGATTTACAGAGAAATCGATATTAATCAATTAGGGCAAGAGAAAGTGGAGATAGAGACTATAGAGGGAAAGTGAGTATATAATTAATTTCGTATAATTAATATTTAGTATTTAAAAATGAAATATCTGATTTTTGAAAAGTGAAACATAATTTCAGAAATTTGAAATTGAATCTTGAAAACTCTTGTTTTGTGTAATTTGCACTTATATTATATATATCCAATTATGTTCCTATGATTGCTTCAAATAAAGAATGTAACTCAATTAAGCAAATTAATAAAGTCCATGCATTTTACGATTGATCGAGTTAAATGTCGACCAAAGTCAGGGCATTGGCCATAAGCCACTTGATTTTGATCAGTCAAAATTCAGGATTCATCAAGACTAGTATGGCTTGACATTCACGTTTTGTCACACCTTACGCCTTTTAGAACCTTAATATATATAGATGTATCGGGTTATGAACTAATGTATAACAATACTAGTTTTCCATATAATCATAGCAAATATTGTGAGTTCTTGAGAGTTGAGATTTGGATGATTCTCCATCTTGATTCTTGGTGCCCATAAAGTGCAACATCGACTTAGAGAATATCGGAGAATATATAAATGTTAGAAGCTCATAGATCAATAAGCACAATTTGTCGGTGGAGATCTGAAGATTGAAAGCTTGGAGATCAATCCATTACTATCCATCATTAAGAATTAATTGTGAAGTAGGTATAATTTCTTGAAAAACCTATGTGGCAATTGATCAGAAATACAATTGATCTTGTTTATGAACATTTTTGTATTTCTTGGTTATTACGTGTTGTATTTTTTGAAAAACCTATGTGCCGCAAACTACGGGAGAAACAAAAAGTGGAATTGTCCGAATTACTAGTACCGAAAGCTAAATGAACATAAGAGGCAATTTCATGTGCAACTTTCTTTTCCCTTTCAAGAAAAAAAGTTGCAAGACCTACAGTTAACAGTCTTTAATAAAGAGATAATATCAGCCAAGATAGGAGAATTAGTGCACATCAAAGCTTAGTATGACCCGTAGTGAATCACTTTCCAGCATTGATATGGAGAGGCCTCGATCTCCTGTAAATATCATTCCATTGCGGACTACCATAGCTTCTGTGTCCCATTCACTGAGAAGAGTCCTCGACGCCACTCTTTAACACATTTCGAGATATTCTCTTTTATAGAACCACAATCTTTTTTCTTTTATTTCAGCCCACAACTGATGGAAGTCCTAAATATGTGTCTTGGAGACCCTAGTTATTAAAGACAAACGTGTTAGAATAATGATTTTCATAGTTGCATAAATCTTCTGGCTATGGATGTGTTTGATGGATATTATTGAGAAAAGAATGTATTTTAAATAGTGATATGATAGGAAATATGTGGTTAAAAAGTAAGAAAAAGTCATTGATATGATAAAAAATATTATTTTATTAAAAAATGTAGGGGCGGACGCAGACTTTCTAAACTAGAGGACACAATCTAACTTTCACAAAGT